GAAATATTTCCATCCCTCCTCCTCAGGGAGGTATCCTGGTCCCCGTGGAATACACATCAACAAAAACTCTCATTATTTCAAGCAGACATTTTTCAAACCTTAGTGCTTATGGTTTCCAGAATGGTTTATGGGACATTGGGTGACAATGAAGGGTTCCCAACACACAAACATCCCCTCACCCCATGCAGGAAGGGCCACAAAGGATTCTCCCCAAAGCTACTCTAATCTCAATGCTCTGTGCTCGTGGTTGAGAGTGGCACAGCACTGAGGGAAGGGGGAGAAAAGGCAACAGAGAGTCAGTGCTCATTCTGGGCTTCCCCCAGATAATTAGAAGGCTTGCAATGATTTACCGTGGAACAGGCAAATCCTGGCAGCAGGACCCCCTGGGCTGAGCTGGTGGGTGGGATATGAGTGCAGTTGTGATGTCGTGGTGAGGCAGATGACAGAGAGTCTGGCAGCTCCTCCTGCTCCTTTGCAATGTCTATTAACTCTGACAGCTCTTGGCATCAGGCTGTGACCAGTATGGCCAAAAAATAAAAGCTTAATGGGACATAACTTAGACACAGGACCTGAGCACAGGCATGGTGAGGTACAGACAACAGTAGAAAATATTTAGGGGCCATACAAAATATTTAGGGCCTTTGTTGTTCTACTGCTCTGCACTAGGCACCCACAAAGTTAGGACTGTCTCAAGGGAGTCTTGGTGAATCACAATTTGATTCCATGTGTACATAGAAAGTAAGAGCCTACCAAAGATGCTCCCTGTAAACAGTTTTTTAATCAAAGGTTTCTGTTTCTTCCTTTCCTGAGACAGGGAAAACTGAGAGAGAAAGGAGGGCTTTATCAGTTCTCCCTCTTCAGTACACCCAGCCTACACAGGACTTCCAATCATGGCTTGATTAATGCAGCACATCCCACTTTCTACTTAGGGATATAAAAAGATAAGAGGCTTGGCTTTATTTTTAACCAATGAGTCATTCTTACCTTGCATCTGTTTAGAAATATGGAAAGAGAAACAAACTGCTCAGATGGCTCTTTGGAGTTTTCAAAACCAGAAAGAAATGGCACTGAATCACAATCTCAGTTCACAACTGGTCTTTTAACTGGTTCATTTTTACCAAAATGGATCTGAGGGACTGCACCCCAAATACCCCGAGAGCACCTACATCCTTTCTCTCTTTTTTTTTATTTTTTTTCCTATTTAACTTGTTTCTCTGGCAATAACCCAATTCCCAGAGCACTGCTCTGCAACTCCTTCAGTGTGTTTTTGTTATCTGGGGGCTGTGCTGCTTCTCTCCCACCCCGATGAAGGGTTGTGCTGGAGGAGAGGCTCCCACTTCACACCGTCCCAGCAAATCAAAGTACAGTCAGAAAAGGGCAAAACCGAGCTCCTAAAGCCCTCCCAGGGACAGAACAAACCAGCAGGCATTTTACCACTTCAAGAACGTCGCATTCTTGACTGAGCATAGCATTGGCAGCCCTGTTTTCACTGCACTTTTCCTAAAATGCTTCCAGACTCGTTTCAGGATCAATGCAGACACGAGGGCAAGGGGAGGCAGGGACAAACAGTTTTGGGTTTCTCTGCACCACGTTGGCCACTTCTCCTCTCTTCAGGGCTGTCCATGCAGTTGGAAAAAACAAACAAACAAACAACCTCTAACGAACCTCCCTGCATTTGTCTGCAACAATATTTGTGTCTGCAATGTTATCTCAAACAATTTTGTCAGCCCCTCTACGCTGGTTAGGAGAGGTGAGGAGGCACAGCTGGAGCCCCGTGGTAGGATGGTAGCAGGGGAGTTAAGGGGGAAGCTTACTGATGATCTCCTGGAAGGCCTTGAGGAGAAAGGATGGTTCCCAGGACAGCACCAGATTCCTGGGAAATATCGAGGGGGCACTTGAATGTCAAGACCATGTGGAGAGACATTCAGCTGGGCAGGAATGGATACTGAGGTTGGGATGAGAGCCCCACTCTCAACCCTGCTGGCAGGAGAGGCACTTTGTTTTTAGGGCAATTTAGCAGTGCAGTTGCAAACCCCTTTAAAGTGCTTAGCAATTTACCCTGTGGCACTACGAGGCACTGTACAGCTCGTGTGTTGCTCTGGGAGGGAAAAGCCACCCATGAAGGGAATTTCATGAAGTTGGATACTCAAACTTCCCCAGTTAAAAAGGTTCTTCAAACATGCAATTGCATACAGGTGTCCTCCCATATACTTTCCATCCTGGCTTACCTTAATCACAACCCTGCCAAAATGAAAGTCCCCGTGAACACAAGTTAAAGGGGCAAAACCTCCTGCAGAAGACACTGCCCTCTGGGTCCTCTGTGCGACAATTTGGAGCCCTCTGCCACCAGGAATGGGAAGAATGTGGCTTCAACATATCCCAGTCTGCAGACTTCCCAAGATGAACACCAAGATCTCACCTGGACACGTGAGTAGTGTTTCTCCAGCCATCCGTTCAGACAAAACAAACATGCCTTCTTTTTACTCTGCTTTACTGGTTGCAAATCAGCTCACTGCTTGACAGAGCTGTAGGAGCTCTCAGAAAGCTGGCAGCTGTTTGCAGCTGCTCAAGGAGGGCCACCTCCTGGTGAAACTCACTCCTCGACTTGAGAAAAAGGAGGAGGATCAGAAGGGTCAAGGTGAGAAAACTGCTGGGTTGAAGTAAACACAGTCGAACAGGTAAAGCAAAAGCTCATTTTTGCCCCAGGATGGTCCCGTTCCTCATCTGGAATCCACTGTGTGCCAGGTTGAGGACAGATACAACCCACACAGAGAGCAGGCAGAGCTCAGCCTGCACCAGCAGGGCTGTCAGGTGCTTTGCTGCACACCCTCAGCAGCCAGTGGAGCATCATGGAGACAGAGACTTGCCTCCGAGGTCACAGCCCATCTCTCTGCCCCCATTTTGCACAGACAAGGTCTGCTTCTCTCCATCCCCAGCCAGAATCGCAGCTGCTTGGCATTCTCTCTTGTGCTTAAATACCACAGGCAAGTCCTCAAAGCCTTTCCAGTTCAGAAGAGATTATCATTAACTCAAGCCCTAAACTGTGATAAATTTTGATGCAAAAAGCATTTTTCTGCATTTGTAAGGATTCTGATAGGCGAGGTTGCAATTATGTGGCTTTAATTCACAGTTACATATTGGGAGAGTAAAACATTGAATTTGGCTTCTTGTTGTATGTACTTGCAGGAAAAGCTTTAAGCCAAGGTGGGTTTCAAGTGTCAAATTGGCCAAAGCAATCTTGCACTGAAGTATCTTGAAAAAAAATAGTGCATTTTTTGCATTTGTTAGGCCTTTCATTGATCCAGCACCGGACACTGGTGCCAGTGGGGCCAGAGCAGGGGAATGGCTCCCACCGTTCCTGTTCCCATGCACAGGGGACTCTTCAGCAGGGGGACAGGGTTCCCTACCAAAGCTGGTACAAAGGAAAGGGAAGTGCCAGGCTGCAGGCCTGCTCTTCTCCTGCAGGTTTGCCACATCACCAGCTTCTGCAGCCACAGCCCATCAGTGAGGCCTGGCTGTGGTGTGGTTGGCAGGTGACAAAGAGGCATGGGATGGGCACACAGCCTTGGGGCACAGAGAGCCCAGAATGAAGCCATGAGGTGGGAAGGGGCTTCACCTGCCCTGAGGGAAAGGCAGCCCCGTTGGTGTGAACCCAGCTGGCAGTGCAGAGTGGATGGTGGTGTCTGTTCTGGGCAGGGCGACACATGCCAGGCACAACTGGCAGTCCAGGCTACGGCATCAGGGCAGTGGATGCAGCCCCTGAAAAGAGGGCTCAGTTCACCCACACCACCCTAATTGTCCAGCTGCTGCCTTGGCCCTAAGGGATCACCCCTGCGTGCAGTGGGCTGACCTTGCTCACAAGCAAATTCCCCCAACACTCACAGTCATACCCAGGCTGCCCCAGCCCACCCCAAGGGGGAACTTCAGAGCCCTCCCCTAAACCTCAGGGCCAGCCCCATTGGCTGCCAGGGCCATGAGCACCAGCACAGCTGCCCAGGCAGAGCCAGCCTGAGACATCTCCAGCCTCATCTCACACAGCCTCGTCCTGCTGCTGCACCCACTGCTGCACACTCTGGGCCTCACTGCTGGCACCATGCAGCCCCCTCGCTGCTGCTGCCTCCTCCTCCTGCTCTACCTCTTCCTCCTCTCTGGCACATGGGCAACTCTGGAGGGTAAGTGGGAGCCTTGGCTCATCCACAGCTGCTCCCATGGCCCCGTGGGACTCCCTGGGCAAGAGGCTTCCTGCTCCCCATCCACTTTTGGCTCTTGCTTCCTCACCCCTCCTCGTTCCCTGGCTCCACACCTCCTCCTCGGCAGGGAGGCCTAGGGGGCCCACAGATCACTGCAACCTCAAGGACCTGCTCAGCAGCCTCTCCACTTTCCCTGTCCCTCTCCTCCCACTCCCATCTTCTCCCTGCCAACCCCTGTCTCATGTAGGGACCGTCACTTTCCGACTGCTCCAGACCTCCACCTTCCAAAACACCTCCTTTGTGGAGACGGAGGGGCTGGGCCTGCTGGAAGACATCGAACTTGGTTCTCTTGATAAGCACACCTGGTCCATCCACTTCCACCAGCCCTGGGTACGTCAAGCCCTGCCCCACAGTGACTGGGACACCATTGACAACATGCTCAAGATCTATTTGCTGAAGTTCAGACACCTGATCAGTGAAGGGGCCATGCAGAGGGATGTGCCCTGTGAGTATCCAGTCTTCACTGCCTCCCCTCTCTGAACAGCAGCTGGGTACTGGGGAAGGATCTGACAAGTGCTGGCACTGTACAGGGGACACTGATCATGTCCACAGCAAGGCAATCCCAGCCCCTCATGCAACCTCTCTCTCCTCTCTGCCCCTCCAGACCCCTTTGTGGTTCAGTGCAGGGCAGGCTGTGAGCTCTACCCCAACAGGACCTCTCGGACCTTCGCCTATGTAGGCTACAATGGGCAGGATTTCCTCAGCTTTGACTCAGACAATGATACCTGGACCCCCTCCCAGGACACCGACCTGTCCCGGCATGTCCTGGCTGTCCTCAAGAACCATACGACCCTTGGTGAGGTGCTGGAGGTCTTCTTGAACGATACCTGCGTCGATGCCATGGAGAGGTTACAGAGATCAGCAAGGGCAGCTCTGGAGAGACAAGGTGAGACCACCCTGACCCTGCCACGGCCACCCCAAAGCCCTGGGGCCAAGCCCTGCCCAACCAGGGCTTCCCTTTGCTCCCATCCCCCAGAGCTGCCCGTGGTCACGGTCTTTGCCCGCACGCCCAGCCCACAGCAGCTGCTGCTGGTCTGCCATGTCACCGCCTTCTACCCCCGGCCCATCAGCGTGGCCTGGCTCAGGGATGGCCAGGAGGTGCCTCCGGGCCCGCAGCTCAGCACCGGCCCCGTCCTGCCCAACGCTGACCTCACCTACCAGCTCCGCAGCGTCCTGGCCGTGGCCCCCCAGGACGGGCACAGCTACGCCTGCCGCGTGCGCCACCGCAGCCTGGGCACCCGCAGCCTCCTCGTCCCCTGGGGTAGGTGCCACCCGCGGGGACGGCATGGGGCGCCCGAGCCGCCCCGCCCTGGGGCACGGAGCAAAGCCCGCCAAGGCCGTGCCAGCCCCTCCTTCTATTCCGCAGGGAACTCGCAGCTGCTGCTCATCACAGCGCTCCTGGCCGGGCTGCTGGGAGCCGCGGCCGTAGCTGCCCTGCTGCTGCTTGCCGTGTGGAGACGCAGGTGAGTCCCCTTCTGCCCCACACAGCGGCAGTGGGACACGAGGGCAGGGGATGCCCCAGGGCATTTCTGCACCCCCACAACGTCTCTGCCCTGGAGCATCCCTGAGCTCTCCCCCTCTGCTTTCAGAAAGCACCACAGGATGGAGCAATCAGAGTCCAGGAACTCCACCCTGAGCAAAGAAGCTTAGCCCAGAAGGAGCCAACTGTCCCCGTTCCCTCCCATCACCCGTCAACCCACAGGGACAAGAACTACCCTTTTCTGCTTCAGGATTACAAGACTAACTCGACTCAGAGATGCAGGGGAGAAACCTGGGTGGCTCCTCACTCACCTGCATTTGCTAAGCAGACACAGATGCAGGGCTGAGACCTCCTCACTTGTGGCACTGCCTTATGCACCCACTGAGGCTCTAGGGCCCCTAAGTGCCCAGTGGCCATTTCTCCCACTTCTGGTACAATAACACTTTTTTCAGAAGGTGGAAAACTGAATCCTTCTACTTTCATTTTCTAGATTTTTTTTTTCTTAAAAATGTCTTTATTAACCATATTCCAGAAACATTTGTTCTGAGACTGAACTGTTCCACAAGAATTAACAGAACTGTAATATGTGGGAGCTGTAGAAGTGTATAACAAAAACAAAATACAACATTCATATTTTCACTAAGATCACTTGCCTTTCCTCAGGAGCTGGGTGGGCTTGGGGCAGGTTTTGATCAGCTGCAAATGGAAGCTGGAGCACCACGGAATTATCTGCACCAATTGCAGGCAACACCAGGGCAAGGGGGAAGAAAAAGTGCAGGTGTGCCTGTGCACACATGAACATGTTCTTACCTATGGCAGGGAAATGAGGAACTGTGCACATGGGGGTGAAGTGCCCCCAAGGCTTCTAATAAAGGAGGAAAAGGAAGCCCCTGTCCCATTGAGACAGCGCAGGTCAGACAGACACAGGAAGGTGTTTAGTTCATGCTCCCAATCAACTTGAACACGCAGCTTCCAAAGCTTTGGTTCCACTGCAAAATTTCCCCAGATCAGTCTGGCAGCCACCTGTGAGCCAGAATATCCCACTGGCCTGGGGCCATATCCACCACAGCTCTGCTGGGCTTCGTTCTGCCTTGGCCAGACCCTGCAAACCACGATGCTGGTGGCAGGACTGAATTTTCCTGGCAGCCAGAGTCACCTGCTGGCACTGCAGGGCTCAAGGGCCTTGCTGCATGACGGGTGACACCAAGCCTCTCCCAGCCCTGGAGGAGTTGGGACACACAGATGAAACCCTCAGGTGCAGGCAGGGCTCCCTCTGGGAGCAAATGGGGCAATTGCTGTCCCAAGCAGAGTGGAAGCCCCTGCAGCACTCAGGGGATGGGGCAGGATGAAGCTCTCCCACCAAAGCTGGAAAGCAGGTGCAGCTGGTGAGCAAAGCTGTGCAGGAAAGGTGTTTGTGGGAATGAGCTCCCAAGAGACCCTACGGTAACACAGCCACAAACACCTGGCACCAAGGAGGTGTCTGCAAGTGTGTGCTCACAGCCCCCCAAGAGACCCTGCAACAACATCCCCCACCCAGGCATTTGGACAGGGCTCTTCAGACACCTCAGCCCAGCCCACCGAGTGCTGCTGCCCACCCACCCAGCTCAGGCCAGCACCCGGGGGCACTGCATCCCTGCCCACCCCACCAGCACCCACCCAGGCACAGCCCTGGCCTCGGGGGGTTACAGCCTTCACCTCAGGGGGCACTGCAAGGAACAACAATCACCTGAGGTGTGACTGAGGACCATGGTCACCTGAGAGGACAGCGAGGACCAATGGTCTGTGTGGATCAAGAGCCCCCTGTCCCCTTGGGTTATTCTCTGACCAGACAAAGTGACAGTGTGAAGGATGAAGAAGTTGTGAGCAAGAAAGAAAGGGGGGGAAAAACCAACCAACCAAACTAAATCAAAACCAGGAGGACAAGTACATTCAGTAGAGAAGAGGAAGGGCTAAAGCAGTACTTCTGATCCCCTGCAACAGTGGGAGACATCTGGAGAAAATTCAGAGGGGCCTGAACACACTGTGACCACCAGCACAAAGCAAGTGCCTGCTCCTGTCCTACCAGTGACCCAGGCACCAACAGTGTCACCTGCCCAGGACAGAGGGCTGAGAATGGCCCCTCAGAGGGCTGAGAGTGACCCCTCAGCTGCTCAGCAAGAAGTCCCCAACACTCATCTTAGAGGGGACCATGGGGACAAGTGGTCGCCTCACAGCACAGCGTGTACCAAAGCCCCTCTGCCCCTTCCCTCCCTGGCTGCCCCAGGGCTGTGCTTTGCCATCCCACCAGCCAAACACTCCCCTCTGGGCCCAGCACTGGTGGATTCAAAGGAAGGGATGTGGATTTTGTGGTGGCAGAGCTGAACATCCCCTGGGTGACGCTGCTGGGGAAGGTGGTGCCATTTCTGGGCCTGCCAGGCCACCACAGCATCCCTACTTCTCTCTGGGACAGCTCCATGGAAGGGAAGGGGGTTGGTGTCCTTGTGTCCCCAGGACTGACTCAGTGTCACAAGGGGCTGGACCTCAGCCTGCAGCAGCACCACATGGGCCTTCCCCGTGTCCCCACAGCTGGAGACACCAAAAATGGAGACATGGAGCAGTGACACCGGGATCCAGTTGTGCTTGGAGGGGTCACACACCAGGGTGGGCACACACCTCTGCTCTGGTTGTGTTTGGTTGTTATCAGGGCACCCCATCTCAGACTTCCCCTCAAATGTGGTTTCAGCTCTGCCTTTGCCCTCAACTTGGGCTCCCTCCAGGAAATGGGAACAGAAACTGCAGGTGAGGGAGCAGCAGTGGATCAGGGACACGGGGGGTGAGACTGGCTCTGGTCACCCCAATATCCCTCCAGCACCAGACACTGGTGCCAGTGGGGCCAGAGCAGGGGAACGGCTCCCACCGTTCCTGTTCCCATGCACAGGGGACTCTTCAGCAGGGGGACAGGGTTCCCTACCAAAGCTGGTGAGAAGGAAAGGGGAGTGCCAGGCTGCAGGCCATCCCCAGGCCCTCTCCTGAGAGCATTCAGGCCAGAGTTGGGTTTCCCTGACACTCGTGTGCACGGAAGCAAAGAAACAGCTCCCAGGTCCCAAGGCATGGATACAGCTCCATGGAAAGGGGGAAGCTGCTCATCCACTGAAACTCTCTGGAATGGGCATCAGGCTGAGGGTATCATGGTCCCATCCCCATCCCAGCTTGAGGATCCTGCCTGGCCAAGTGCCACTGCTCCACGATTCTGATGACTGTCAATGGGAAACAATCCCTTCCAGGCCCTGCAGCCCATCACTTCCCTTGGGGACCAACACACTGCAGCTGCTCAAGACCATTGGCCTTCTGCACTCCAAATGGAGTTCCTGGAGGAGCTGCTTCATCCAGCTCTGCCTGCACCCATCCCTGACTTCACAGCTCTGGTCCAGACTGGAACTGCTCATCACCTCAACCTGGGGAGTCCCTTTCCCATTGAATCAGGTCAGCAGTGCTGAGTGGCCAGCGAATGTCACCATCAGCTCTTCTCCATCACTGAGCTGTCCACGGCCACAGTCGTTGGTGTGGCCCATCAGTATGACTGGGAGGTGACAAAGAGCCATGGGATGGGCACACAGCCTTGGGGCACAGAGAGCCCAGAATGAAGCCATGAGGTGGGAAGGGGCTTCGCCTGCCCTGAGGGAAAGGCAGCCCCGTTGGTGTGAACCCAGCTGGCAGTGCAGAGTGGATGGTGGTGTCTGTTCTGGGCAGGGCGACACATGCCAGGCACAACTGGCAGTCCAGGCTACGGCATCAGGGCAGTGGATGCAGCCCCTGAAAAGAGGGCTCAGTTCACCCACACCACCCTAATTGTCCAGCTGCTGCCTTGGCCCTAAGGGATCACCCCTGCGTGCAGTGGGCTGACCTTGCTCACAAGCAAATTCCCCCAACACTCACAGTCATACCCAGGCTGCCCCAGCCCACCCCAAGGGGGAACTTCAGAGCCCTCCCCTAAACCTCAGGGCCAGCCCCATTGGCTGCCAGGGCCATGAGCACCAGCACAGCTGCCCAGGCAGAGCCAGCCTGAGACATCTCCAGCCTCATCTCACACAGCCTCGTCCTGCTGCTGCTGCTGCACCCACTGCTGCACACTCTGGGCCTCACTGCTGGCACCATGCAGCCCCCTCGCTGCTGCTGCCTCCTCCTCCTCCTGCTCTACCTCTTCCTCCTCTCTGGCACATGGGCAACTCTGGAGGGTAAGTGGGAGCCTTGGCTCATCCACAGCTGCTCCCATGGCCCCGTGGGACTCCCTGGGCAAGAGGCTTCCTGCTCCCCATCCACTTTTGGCTCTTGCTTCCTCACCCCTCCTCGTTCCCTGGCTTCACACCTCCTCCTCGGCAGGGATGCAGCCACCTGGGGTGGGTGCAGGGGTGGGAACCGGGGCTGCCAAGGCTGTAGGGGCCTAGGGGGGCCCACAGATCACTGCAACCTCAAGGACCTGCCCAGCAGCCTCTCCACTTTCCCTGTCCCTCTCCTCCCACTCCCATCTTCTCCCTGCCAACCCCTGTCTCGTGTAGGCACCGTCACTCTCCGGCTGCTCCACACCTCCACCTTCCAAAACACCTCCTTTGTGGAGACAGAGGGGCTGGGCCTGCTGGAAGACATCGAACTTGGTTCTCTTGATAAGCACACCTGGTCCATCCACCTCTACCATCCCTGGGTGCGTCAAGCCCTGCCCCGCATGGACTGGGACACCATTGAGAACATGCTCAAGATCTACTTGCAGCAGTTCAGCCACCTGATCAATGAAGGGGCCATGCAGAGGGATGTGCCCTGTGAGTATCCAGTCTTCACTGCCTCCCCTCTCTGAACAGCAGCTGGGTACTGGGGAAGGATCTGGCAAGTGCTGGACACTGATCATGTCCACAGCAAGGCAATCCCAGCCCCTCATGCAACCTCTCTCTCTCTCTCTGCCCCTCCAGACCCCTTTGTGGTTCAGTGCATGGCAGGCTGTGAGCTCTACCCCAACAGGACCTCTCGGGCCTTCGTCTATGTGGCCTACAACGGGCAGGATTTCCTCAGCTTTGACTCAGACAACAATACCTGGACCCTCTCCCAGGACACCGACCTGTCCCGGTATGTCCTTGCCTTACTCAAGAACTACACCGCCCTCAGTGAGCTGGTCGAGGTCATCTTCAACGAGAGCTGCGTGAATGACATGGAGAGGTTACTGAGCTCAGGGAGGGCAGCTCTGGAGAGACAAGGTGAGACCACCCTGACCCTGCCACGGCCACCCCAAAGCCCTGGGGCCAAGCCCTGCCCAACCAGGGCTTCCCTTTGCTCCCATCCCCCAGAGCTGCCCGTGGTCACGGTCTTTGCCCGCACGCCCAGCCCACAGCAGCTGCTGCTGGTCTGCCATGTCACCGCCTTCTACCCCCGGCCCATCAGCGTGGCCTGGCTCAGGGATGGCCAGGAGGTGCCTCCGGGCCCGCAGCTCAGCACCGGCCCCGTCCTGCCCAACGCTGACCTCACCTACCAGCTCCGCAGCGTCCTGGCCGTGGCCCCCCAGGACGGGCACAGCTACGCCTGCCGCGTGCGCCACCGCAGCCTGGGCACCCGCAGCCTCCTCGTCCCCTGGGGTAGGTGCCACCCGCGGGGACGGCATGGGGCGCCCGAGCCGCCCCGCCCTGGGGCACGGAGCAAAGCCCGCCAAGGCCGTGCCAGCCCCTCCTTCTATTCCGCAGGGAACTCGCAGCTGCTGCTCATCACAGCGCTCCTGGCCGGGCTGCTGGGAGCCGCGGCCGTAGCTGCCCTGCTGCTGCTTGCCGTGTGGAGACGCAGGTGAGTCCCCTTCTGCCCCACACAGCGGCAGTGGGACACGAGGGCAGGGGATGCCCCAGGGCATTTCTGCACCCCCACAAGGTCTCTGCCCTGGAGCATCCCTGAGCTATCCCCCTCTGCTTTCAGAAAGCACCAGCGGGTGGAGGAATCAGAGTCCAGGAACTCCACCCTGAGCAAAGAAGCTTAGCCCAGAAGGAGCCAACTGTCCCCGTTCCCTCCCATCACCCGTCAACCCACAGGGACAAGAACTACCCTTTTCTGCTTCAGGATTACAAGACTAACTCGACTCAGAGATGCAGGGGAGAAACCTGGGTGGCTCCTCACTGTCGTGGTTTTGCTCTGGGTCAGTTTGCTTTCACTCTCCCCCACAATTTTTATTACTTGAGAGAAGGTTTATGCAGATAAAATAGACTGGATCTGGGAAAAAACAGTATAAACATTTATTACTAACAAGTTAAAATTAAAGAATTATATCTACAACTATTCTACTTAAGTAAAAGTGCTATGTATTTACAGAAAATACTTCTTCCCCTATCTTATTATTCTAAGGAGGAAAAGCAGTCTCATTCTCCGTTTTTGGAGCTCCAGATCTCCTCAATAACTCTGCAGTACTCTCGTTGTAGCTGGAATTCCTTCATCTCTCTTTAACTCTGTGTCGGTTTCCAGGGCTGGGCCTACCCCCTCTTGGGCTAAGACCGGAGGTTGGGGGTTACTCAGGCTCTGAAGGTTTTCTCTTCCATGGGGCTTGCAAGGGGACACTTGCCTACCATGGATCTTCTCCCATGGAATTACAGGGGATAATGACTTACGAGTCCAGCCCTGTTTCCCTGTGGAGGTCCCTCCCCATGGGAGAACAGTTCTTGATAGACCTCTCCGACATCGCTCTAGCATGGATCCCTCACTTGGATCCCAACATCCTTACCCGAGCCGTTTTCTGCTCCGGCGAAAGGCTCTTTCTCTCAAAGTCACAAATCTTCAGCACCAGTAGGATGGATCTCTCACTGAGATCCCCAGCTTACCCAAGCCATCTGCTCCAGCGTAAGCCTCGTCCCTTCAGAGTCATAAATTTTCAACAAGACTCTGCCTCATTTCAGTCCCTCTCATGAAGTCTCAGTTCTCTGGTATATCCACAACTTCCTTTGTGAGTTGCATGAGGGTCTCCTCACCCCAACAATCTTCTACAGCTGGCAGAGATTACTTTTCAGTCTTTTCCCTGCTGAAGGGAAAGAGCGAAAGGGGGAGAAGCAGGGCCCCCTTCGCATTTCTCTCTCCTCTGGCTGCCAGCTTTGACCTTGGAAGTCCCTTATCCCTCTGCCAGAATTCTTCTCCCACAGTTTCTGTCCAAGTAGTCAGTTTTCTAAAGTTTTTTTCTCTTCACTCTCTTACAAGAGAAGGGGGGCTTCAGTGCTACACTTGCCCCCAGCCCAGGGCCGGGGGAGGAGGGGGCCTTGGTCCCCCTTGGGGCCTGCCGCCGCCTCTCCTACATGGCTGCTTAATTTCAACTACGCCACAAGCCTTCTCTTCCATTTTCTTAAATATGTAATTAGCAAAGGCGTTACTGAGAGTTTTAATTGGCCTCTTGTCCGGAAATCCACCTGGACAGAAACATTCTGAGCCCAGGGGCTGGTCGGCTGGGCAAAACCACGACACTCACTCACCTGAATTTGCTAAGCAGACACAGATGCAGGGCTGAGACCTCCTCACTTGTTACACCTCTTGTGGCACTGCCTTATGCACCCACTGAGGCTCTAGGGCCCTGTCCCAGGTTGGACTTGGCTCCCAGCCAAGTGCCAGGACCCCAGGGACAAAACCTTCCCCCTCCCTCTCGCTCTCTTCCAGCTGACCGAAAAGATCACGAAAAAGAAAATCAAAAGAACCCAAACCCAACTGTATTTTAAGTGGAAGATTTATATATATAAAGAAAATTATATACAGGGAACCCCCAAAAAGGGAAAAGGGAAGAGAAAGGGAAAAGGGAAAAAGGGATAAAAATGGATACAAAGCAAAATATTTCCCTCGAGAGACAGCAAGCCACACCAAAACACCGCTGGCACTCTCTGCCTCTCAAGGCCAACCAGATGCACCAGGCCTCACTCCCTTGCCCGGGCAGAGCGACAGCAAAGCTACGTTCGCCTTCGGTCCGCCAGAAAAAGAGAGCGAGAGCTTCCTCTCTCTTATTTATGCTCTTTCTTACGTAAAAATGGTATGGAATACTGGGAACATGGCCTTGGTTCCTTGGTTACAACCTGGTCACCAAGGAAGGCCAAGACTCAAAACAACTACAGGCCCCTAAGTGCCCAGTGGCAATTTATCCCACTTCTGGTACAATAACACTTTTATCAGCAGGTGGAAAGCTGAATCCTTCTACTTTCATTTTCTAGATTGTGTCTTTTTTTCTTAAAAACTGTCTTTCTTAACCATATTCCAGAAATATTTGTTCTGAGACTGAACTGTTCCACCTGAACTAACAGAACCTGGCCACAAATGGCTTTACAAAGCACTGAGTAACACTGAAACTCTGGTGTAATATGTGGGAGCTGCAGATGTGTAAAATAAAATCAAAAGACAACATTCATATTTTCACTAAGATCACCTGCCTTTCCCCAGGAGCTGGGTGGGCTTGGGGCAGGTTTTGATCAGCTGCAAATGGAAGCTGGAGCACCATGCAATTATTGGCACCAATTGTAGGCAACACCAGGGCAAGGGGGAAGAAAAAGTGCAGGTGTGCCTGTGCACACATGAACATGTTCTTACCTGTGGCAGGGAAATGAGGAACTGTGCACATGGGGGTGAAGTGCCCCCAAGGCTTCTAATAAAGGAGGAAAAGAAGCCCCTGTCCCATTGAGACAGCGCAGGTCAGACAGACACAGGAAGGTGTTTAGTTCATGCTCCCAATCAACTTGAACACGCAGCTTCCAAAGCTTTGATTCCACTGCAAAATTTCCCAAGATCAGTCTGGCAGCCACCTGTGAGCCAGAAAATCCCTGCTGAACACTCCCCTCTGGGCCCAGCACTGCTGGCTCCAAAGGATCTTTGTGGTGGCAGAGCTGAACATCCCCTGGGTGACGCTGCTGGGGAAGGTGGTGCCATTTCTGGGCCTGCCAGGCCACCACAGCATCCCTACTTCTCTCTGGGACAGCTCCATAGAAGGGAAGGGGGTTGGTGTCCTTGTGTCCCCACGACTGACTCAGTGTCACAAGGGGCTGGACCTCAGCCTGCAGCAGCACCACATGGGCCTTCCCCGTGTCCCCAGAGCTGGAGACACCAAAAATGGAGACATGGAGCAGTGACACCTGGATCCAGTTGTGCTTGGAGGGGTCACACACCAGGGTGGGCACACACCTCTGCTCTGGTTGTGTTTGGTTGTTATCAGGGCAGCTCATCTCAGACTTCCCCTCAAATGTGGTTTCAGCTCTGCCTTCGCCCTCAACTTGGGCTCCCTCCAGGAAATGGGAACAGAAACTGCAGGTGAGGGAGCAGCAGTGGATCAGGGACACGGGGGGGTGAGACTGGCTCTGGTCACCCCAATATCCCTCCAGCACCAGACACTGGTGCCAGTGGGGCCAGAGCAGGGGAACGACTCCAACCATTCCTGTTCCCATGCACAGGGGACTCTTCAGCAGGGGGACAGGGTTCCCTACCAAAGCTGGGGCACAGAGAGCCCAGAATGAAGCCATGAGGTGGGAAGGGGTTTTACTTGCCCTGAGGGAAAGGCAGCCCCGTTGGTGTGAACCCAGCTGGCAGTGCAGAGTGGATGGTGGTGTCTGTTCTGGGCAGGGCGACACATGCCAGGCACAACTGGCAGTCCAGGCTACGGCATCAGGGCAGTGGATGCAGCCCCTGAAAAGAGGGCTCAGTTCACCCACACCACCCTAATTGTCCAGCTGCTGCCTTGGCCCTAAGGGATCACCCCTGCGTGCAGTGGGCTGACCTTGCTCACAAGCAAATTCCCCCAACACTCACAGTCATACCCAGGCTGCCCCAGCCCACCCCAAGGGGGAACTTCAGAGCCCTCCCCTAAACCTCAGGGCCAGCCCCATTGGCTCCCAGGGCCATGAGCACCAGCACAGCTGCCCAGGCAGAGCCAGCCTGAGACATCTCCAGCCTCATCTCACACAGCCTCGTCCTGCTGCTGCTGCTGCACCCACTGCTGCACACTCTGGGCCTCACTGCTGGCACCATGCAGCCCCCTCGCTGCTGCTGCCTCCTCCTCCTGCTCTACCTCTTCCTCCTCTCTGGCACATGGGCAACTCTGGAGGGTAAGTGGGAGCCTTGGCTCATCCACAGCTGCTCCCATGGCCCCGTGGGACCCCCTGGGCAAGAGGCTTCCTGCTCCCCATCCACTTTTGGCTCTTGCTTCCTCACCCCTCCTCGTTCCCTGGTCCACACCTCCTCCTCGGCAGGGATGCAGCCACCTGAGGTGGGTGCAGGGTGTGGGAACCGGGGCTGCCAAGGCTGTAGGGGCCTAGGGGGGCCCACAGATCACTGCAACCTCCAGGACCTGCCTGTCAGCCCTTCAAATTTTTCCTGGCCCTCTCCTCCCACTCCCATCTTCTCCCTGCCAACCCCTGTCTCATGTAGGGACCGTCACTCTCCGGCTGCTCCACACCTCCACCTTCCAAAACACCTCCTTTGTGGAGACAGAGGGGCTGGCCCTGCTGGAAGACATCGAACTTGGTTCTCTTGATAAGCACACCTGGTCCATCCACTTCCACCAGCCCTGGGTGCATCCAGCCCTAACCCGCAAGGACTGGGACACCATTGACAACATGTTCAGGATCTATTTGTTGAGGTTCAGCCACCTGATCAATGAAGGGGCCATGCAGAAGGATGTGCCCTGTGAGTATCCAGTCTTCACTGCCTCCTCTCTCTGAACAGCAGCTGGGTACTGGGGAAGGATCTGGCAAGTGCTGGACACTGATCATGTCCACAGCAAGGCAATCCCAGCCCCTCATGCAACCTCTCTCTCTCTTCTCTGCCCCTCCAGACCCCTTTGTGGCTCAGAGCATGATAGGCTGTGAGCTCTACCCCAACAGGACCTCTCGGACCTTTGTCTATGTGGGCTACAACGGGCAGGATTTCCTCAGCTTTGACACAGACAATGTAACCTGGACCCTCTCCCAGAACACTGACCTGTCCCGGTACGTCCTTGCCTACCTCAAGAACCACATAGCTTTCAGTGGGCGGGTGGACGTCCTCTTCAGTGATACCTGCATCAATGCCATGGAGAAGTTACTGACTTATGGGAGGGCAGCTCTGGAGAGACAAGGTGAGACCACCCTGACCCTGCCACGGCCACCCCAAAGCCCTGGGGCCAAGCCCTGCCCAACCAGGCCTTCCCTTTGCTCCCATCCCCCAGAGCTGCCCGTGGTCACGGTCTTTGCCCGCACGCCCAGCCCACAGCAGCTGCTGCTGGTCTGCCATGTCACCGCCTTCTACCCCCGGCCCATCAGCGTGGCCTGGCTCAGGGATGGCCAGGAGGTGCCTCCGGGCCCGCAGCTCAGCACCGGCCCCGTCCTGCCCAACGCTGACCTCACCTACCAGCTCCGCAGCGTCCTGGCCGTGGCCCCCCAGGACGGGCACAGCTACGCCTGCCGCGTGCGCCACCGCAGCCTGGGCACCCGCAGCCTCCTCGTCCCCTGGGGTAGGTGCCACCCGCGGGGACGGCATGGGGCGCCCGAGCCGCCCCGCCCTGGGGCACGGAGCAAAGCCCGCCAAGGCCGTGCCAGCCCCTCCTTCTATTCCGCAGGGAACTCGCAGCTGCTGCTCATCACAGCGCTCCTGGCCGGGCTGCTGGGAGCCGCGGCCGTAGCTGCCCTGCTGCTGCTTGCCGTGTGGAGACGCAGGTGAGTCCCCTTCTGCCCCACACAGCGGCAGTGGGACACGAGGGCAGGGGATGCCCCAGGGCATTTCTGCACCCCCACAACGTCTCTGCCCTGGAGCATCCCTGAGCTCTCCCCCTCTGCTTTCAGAAAGCACCAGCGGGTGGAGGAATCAGAGTCCAGGAACTCCACCCTGAGCAAAGAAGCTTAGCCCAGAAGGAGCCAACTGTCCCCGTTCCCTCCCATCACCCATCAACCAACAGGGACAAGAACTACCCTTTTCTGCTTCAGGATTACAAGGCTAACTCGACTCAGAGATGCAGGGGAGAAACCTGGCTGGCTCCTCACTCACCTGCATTTGCTAAGCAGACACAGATGCAGGGCTGAGACCTCCTCACTTGTTACACCTCTTGTGGCACTGCCTTATGCACCCACTGAGGCTCTAGGGCCCCTAAGTGCCCAGTGGCAATTTCTCCCTCTTCTGGTACAATAACACATTTATCAGCAGGTGGAAAGCAGAATCCTTCTACTTTCACTTCCTAGACTGGTTTTTTTTCTTAAAACTGCCTTTATTAATCATATTCCAGAAATATTTGTTCTGAGACTCAACTGTTCCACATGAACTAACAGAACCTGGCCACAAATGGCTTTACAAAGCCCTGAGTAACACTGAAACTCTGGTGTAATATGTGGGAGCTGCAGATGTGTATAATAAAATCAAAAGACAACATTCATATTTTCACTAAGATCACCTGCCTTTCCCCAGGAGCTGGGTGGGCTTGGGGCAGGTTTTGATCAGCTGCAAATGGAAGCTGGAGCACCACGGAATTATCTGCACCAATTGAAGGTAACACCAAGGCAAGGGGGAAGAAAAAGTGCAGGTGTGCCTGTGCACACATGAACATGTTCTTACCTATGGCAGGGAAATGAGGAACTGTGCACATGGGGGTGAAGTGCCCCCAAGGCTTCTAATAAAGGAGGAAAAGGAAGCCCCTGTCCCACTGAAGACAGCGCAATTCAGACAGACACAGGAAGGTGTTTAGTTCATGCTCCCAATCAACTTGAACACGCAGCTTCCAAAGCTTTGATTGCACTGCAAAATTTCCCAAGATCAGTCTGGCAGCCACCTGTGAGCCAGAAAATCCCTGCTGAACACTCCCCTCTGGGCCCAGCACTGCTGGCTCCAAAGGATCTTTGTGGTGGCAGAGCTGGAACTCCCCTGGGTGACGCTGCTGGGGAAGGTGGTGCCATTTCTGGGCCTGCCAGGCCACCACAGCATCCCTACTTCTCTCTGGGACAGCTCCATAGAAGGGAAGGGGGTTGGTGTCCTTGTGTCCCCACGACTGACTCAGTGTCACAAGGGGCTGGACCTCAGCCTGCAGCAGCACCACATGGGCCTTCCCCGTGTCCCCACAGCTGGAGACACCAAAAATGGAGACATGGAGCAGTGACACCTGGATCCAGTTGTGCTTGGAGGGGTCACACACCAGGGTGGGCACACACCTCTGCTCTGGTTGTGTTTGGTTGTTATCAGGGCACCCCATCTCAGACTTCCCCTCAAATGTGGTTTCAGCTCTGCCTTTGCCCTCAACTTGGGCTCCCTCCAGGAAATGGGAACAGAAACTGCAGGTGAGGGAGCAGCAGTGGATCAGGGACACGGGGGGTGAGACTGGCTCTGGTCACCCCAATATCCCTCCAGCACCAGACACTGGTGCCAGTGGGGCCAGAGCAGGGGAATGGCTCCCACCGTTCCTGTTCCCGTGCACAGGGGACTCTTCAGCAGGGGGACAGGGATCCCTACCAAAGCTGGTACAAAGGAAAGGGAAGTGCCAGGCTGCAGGCCTGCTCTTCTCCTGCAGGTTTGCCACATCACCAGCTTCTGTAGCCACAGCCCATCAGTGAGGCCTGGCTGTGGTGTGGCTGGCAGGTGACAAAGAGGCATGGGATGGGCACACAGCCTTGGGGCACAGAGAGCCCAGAATGAAGCCATGAGGTGGGAAGGGGCTTCGCCTGCCCTGAGGGAAAGGCAGCCCCGTTGGTGTGAACCCAGCTGGCAGTGCAGAGTGGATGGTGGTGTCTGTTCTGGGCAGGGCGACACATGCCAGGCACAACTGGCAGTCCAGGCTACGGCATCAGGGCAGTGGATGCAGCCCCTGAAAAGAGGGCTCAGTTCACCCACACCACCCTAATTGTCCAGCTGCTGCCTTGGCCCTAAGGGATCACCCCTGCGTGCAGTGGGCTGACCTTGCTCACAAGCAAATTCCCCCAACACTCACAGTCATACCCAGGCTGCCCCAGCCCACCCCAAGGGGGAACTTCAGAGCCCTCCCCTAAACCTCAGGGCCAGCCCCATTGGCTGCCAGAGCCATGAGCACAAGCACAGCTGCCCAGGCAGAGCCAGCCTGAGACATCTCCAGCCTCACCTCACACAGCCTCATCCTGCTGCTGCTGCTGCACCCACTGCTGCACACTCTGGGCCTCACTGCTGGCACCATGCAGCCCCCTCGCTGCTGCTGCCTCCTCCTCCTGCTCTACCTCTTCCTCCTCTCAGGCACATGGGCAACTCTGGAGGGTAAGTGGGAGCCTTGGCTCATCCACAGCTGCTCCCATGGCCCCGTGGGACCCCCTGGGCAAGAGGCTTCCTGCTCCCCATCCACTTTTGGCTTTTGCTTCCTTACCCTTCCTCATCCCTGGCTCCACACCTCCTCCTCGGCAGGGATGCAGCCACCGGGGGTTGGTGCAGGGGGTGGGAACCGGGGCTGCCAAGGCTGTAGGAGCCTAGGGGGGCCCACAGATCATTGCAACCTCAAGGACCTGCCTGTCAGCCCCTCCACTTTCCCTGGCCCTCTCCTCCCACTCCCATCTCGTCCCTGCCAACCCCTGTCTCATGTAGGGACCTTCACTGTCCAGCTGCTCCAGACCTCCACCTTCCAAAACACCTCCTTTGTGGAGACAGAGGGGCTGGCCCTGCTGGAAGACATCGAAATTGCTACTCTTGATAAGCACACCAGGTCCATCCACTTCCACCAGCCCTGGGTGCATCCAGCCCTACCCCACATGGACTGGGACAACATTGAGAACATGCTCAGGATCTATTTGCTGAAGATCAGCCACTTGATCAATGAAGGGGCCATGGAGAAGGATGTGCCTTGTGAGTATCCAGTCTTCACTGCCTCCCGTTTCTGAACAGCAGCTGGGTACTGGGGACGGATCTGGCAAGTGCTGGTACTGTGCAGAGGACTCTGATCATGTCCACAGCAAGGCAATCCCAGCCCCTCATGCAACCTCTCTCTCTCTTCTCTGCCCCTCCAGACCCCTTTGTGATTCAGTGCAGGGCAGGCTGTGAGCTCTACCCCAACAGGACCTCTCGGACCTTCGCCTATGTGGGCTACAACGGGCAGGATTTCCTCATCTTTGACTCAGACAATGATACCTGGACCCTCTCCCAGGACACCGACCTGTCCCGGTACTTCCTCGCCTACCTCAAGAACCACACAGCTTTCAGTGAGCGGGTCGAGGTCCTCTTCAACAATACCTGTGTCGATGCCATGGAGAGGTTTCTGACCTACGGGAGGGCAGCTCTGGAGAGACAAGGTGAGACCACCCTGACCCTGTCACGGCCACCCCAAAGCCCTGGGGCCAAGCCCTGCCCAACCAGGACTTCCCTTTGCTCCCATCCCCCAGAGCTGCCCGTGGTCACGGTCTTTGCCCGCACGCCCAGCCCACAGCAGCTGCTGCTGGTCTGCCATGTCACCGCCTTCTACCCCCGGCCCATCAGCGTGGCCTGGCTCAGGGATGGCCAGGAGGTGCCTCCGGGCCCGCAGCTCAGCACCGGCCCCGTCCTGCCCAACGCTGACCTCACCTACCAGCTCCGCAGCGTCCTGGCCGTGGCCCCCCAGGACGGGCACAGCTACGCCTGCCGCGTGCGCCACCGCAGCCTGGGCACCCGCAGCCTCCTCGTCCCCTGGGGTAGGTGCCACCCGCGGGGACGGCATGGGGCGCCCGAGCCGCCCCGCCCTGGGGCACGGAGCAAAGCCCGCCAAGGCCGTGCCAGCCCCTCCTTCTATTCCGCAGGGAACTCGCAGCTGCTGCTCATCACAGCGCTCCTGGCCGGGCTGCTGGGAGCCGCGGCCGTAGCTGCCCTGCTGCTGCTTGCCGTGTGGAGACGCAGGTGAGTCCCCTTCTGCCCCACACAGCGGCAGTGGGACACGAGGGCAGGGGATGCCCCAGGGCATTTCTGCACCCCCACAACGTCTCTGCCCTGGAGCATCCCTGAGCTCTCCCCCTCTGCTTTCAGAAAGCACCAGCGGGTGGAGGAATCAGAGTCCAGGAACTCCACCCTGAGCAAAGAAGCTTAGCCCAGAAGGAGCCAACTGTCCCCGTTCCCTCCCATCACCCGTCAACCCACAGGGACAAGAACTACCCTTTTCTGATTCAGGATTACAAGACTAACTCGACTCAGAGATGCAGGGGAGAAACCTGGGTGGCTCCTCACTCACCTGCATTTGCTAAGCAGACACAGATGCAGGGCTGAGACCTCCTCACTTGTTACACCTCTTGTGGCACTGCCTTATGCACGCACTGAGGCTCTAGGGCCCCTAAGTGCCCAGTGGCAATTTCTCCCTCTTCTGGTATAATAACACTTTTATCAGTAGGTGGAAAGCTGAATCCTTCTACTTTCATTTTCTAGATTGTTTTCTTTTTCTTAAAAATGTCTTTATTAACCATATTCCAGAAATATTTCTTCTGAGACTCTACAATTCTGCATGGACTAACAGAACCTATGGCTTTACAAAGCACTGAGTACCACTGAAACTCTGGTGTAATATGTGGGAGCTGCAGATGTGTATAATAAAATCAAAAGACAACATTCATATTTTCACTAAGATCACCTGCCTTTCCCCAGGAGCTGGGTGGGCTTGGGGCAGGTTTTGATCAGCTGCAAATGGAAGCTGGAGCACCACGGAATTATTGGCACCAATTGAAGGCAACACCAGGGCAAGGGGGAAGAAAAAGTGCAGGTGTGCCTGTGCACACATGAACATGTTCTTACCTATGGCAGGGAAATGAGGAACTGTGCACATGGGGGTGAAGTGCCCCCAAGGCTTCTAATAAAGGAGGAAAAGGAAGCCCCTGTCCCATTGAGACAGCGCAGGTCAGACAGACACAGGAAGGTGTTTAGTTCATGCTCCCAATCAACTTGAACACGCAGCTTCCAAAGCTTTGGTTCCACTGCAAAATTTCCCAAGATCAGTCTGGCAGCCACCTGTGAGCCAGAAAATCCCTGCTGAACACTCCCCTCTGGGCCCAGCACTGCTGGCTCCAAAGGATCTTTGTGGTGGCAGAGCTGGAACTCCCCTGGGTGACGGTGCTGGGGAAGGTGGTGCCATTTCTGGGCCTGCCAGGCCACCACAGCATCCCTACTTCTCTCTGGGACAGCTCCATGGAAGGGAAGGTGGTTGGTGTTTGGCCACACTGAGGTGCACCCCTCAGATCACTGCTCAGCTGTGGTTTCAGTTCTGCCTTCACTCCCAAGGTGAGCACCACCCAGGAAAGGGGAAGAGAAACTACGTGTTGAGGGGAGGAGCGGGGGAGGAGCAGTGAATCAGGGACACTGTGGGGGTGAGGCTGGCTCACCACTGTCCCTGCATTGTACCACTGGACTCTGGTGCACAGGGGACAGAGCAGAGGAATGGTTCCCGCCATTCCTGTTCCCATGCACAGGGGGCTCTTGGGGAGTGGAAGAGGATTCTGCACCAGTTAGTAGAAAGGAAAGGGCAGTGCCAGACCCACCCCTGGGCCCTCTCCTGGGGGCATTTAGGGCGGAGTTGGTGCTCCCCAGCAGTGTCCCACAGACTGGGGCTAGTCAGGAACTGTTTGTCACCTCCTCCCTGGGAGCCTCATTCCCAGGGTTAGGCAGGTGGTGAAGGAGCAGACTGAGCTGGAGGTGCTGGAGAAGGGGGGACACAAAGCATCCCTTCTTGCCATGTGGGGGCTGGGAGGACAGCAACCATCTTTCTCCAGTCAGGGCTGGAATCCAAAAGCCATCGTCGCCTCCATTGGAGCTGATGCACCCCACCAGAACTGGGACAGGACAAGGTACCATCGGCAGGGAGGGGGAGCCACGGGGGCCCTTGAACATCTGCTTTCTGCTGGCCATGTTTCCTGGGACTCTCTTTCTTCCTGGCTGGGCTTTCCCCAGCCTGTCACAGCACTTCATGCTCAAGACCTTATTTCAGCTCTCGTCCCTCCCACACATCCCCAGCCCTAACCCCGGCAGGCTCGCTCCGGTCCCATTGGTGGGGAGCTGCCGCAGTGACTGCTGGGCTGGGCTGAGCTGAACCGTGGGACCCCAAAGTTCTTCTTCCTCCTGCACTCACTGCTGCTGCTCCTTCAGCCCTGCTGCACACACCATGCAGCCCTCTCACCTCCTCCTCTTCCTCTTTCTTCCCCTCCTCCTTCCCGGGATGTGGGCAGACCCAGAGGGTAAGTGGGAGCCCTGGCTCACCCAAACCGCTCTCACCCCCACTGTCAGAAGACCCTACAGGTTCCTCAGGGGACGCCACTGGCCCTGCATGGGGGGGATGATCCCCAGCATCAAAGGGCCGACCCCCACCACGCAGCACCCAAAGGTGCTTTGTCCCTGCCCACCCTCTCTGTTCTTGCCCCCAGCTCAGGACTTCTACCCCACTGGCTTGACACGGGGCCTTGGGCACACAAGCAGAAGAGAGAGCAGTGTCCCCACACAGGCTTTGGGTGTTGAGGTTCCCCACAATGTCTTTGCCCTGCAAGGAGCCCATGGGTGCCAAGGGGGAATCAGCCCCACATGCTGCTGTGGGCCCCTTCCAGCAGCCCCTTGTTTTTTGGGGAGCTGCACCTGCAAGAGGGTGTTTCAGGCACTGCTGCTGCACAGAGCATTTTACCACAAACAACCCTGTGAGACCTTGTGCTTCTGAGGTGGGCAGCATCGCACATGGGAAGGCAGGATTGATCTCTGAGATGGGCTGTGCTGCTCTCCTGGCCCTGTCAAGGGAACCCCAAACCTGGATAAAATGCCCTTTTCCATCCTCCATGTCCTCTGCACCGGGTACAGGTCTCTGGCAGATACAGGTCCTGGCACAGGTGTTCTCCTGGGGGGAGCATCACCCCAAACACGCAGCAAGGTGCCCCCTCATCTGCTCTACACAGTCAGACAGCAGCACTAGGCAGGAGGGAGGGGAGGAGACAAAATACCTGAAATCCTGTACAGGAAAGAAACAATTCACTGAAAGTAAAAAAGAGAAGGAAAAGGAGCAGCAAAGGCAGAGGAAGTTCAGCTACCCTGAGCAGGCTGAAGAGCACTACAGAACGGTTTGGGGTGGGAGGGACCTTTAAAGACCATCCAGTCCAACCACCCCTGCCACGGGCAGGGACATCTTCCATTAGATCAGGTTGCTCAGAGCACCGTCCAACCTGGCCTTGAGTGTTTCCAGGGATGGGGCAGCCATCCCATCTCTGGGCAATCTGTGTCAGCATCTCACCTGCCTCACAGTAAAAAATGTCTTCCTTTTATCCAGTCTGAATCTCCTGTTTCCCCTCTAGCCCCTCCCCTCATCTCCTTCCTACACCCCTTCTCATCCCCATCCTCCTTCCCAGCAGAGCCACAGGTTCTCCAGTACTTCCTGACCGGCCTCTTTGCTGACGTGAGCTCTGCTGAGCTGTCAGCGATGGCAGTCCTGGGGGATGTGCCCATCTTTGCACTGGATCCTGCCAACTGGAGCGTCCACTTCCACTGGCCCTGGGTCAGCCAGGCTGCGGCCGAGGGTGACACCAAGAAGCTGATGTCCCAGCGTCAAATCGCTCTGCGCAGCCTGATCCGATACGTGCATGGCAAAGCCCGGCAGACAGAAATGGACTGTGAGTACGGGAACAACCCCAGTCAGAGCCCTGGCACCTCTCCCCAGGTTCAGGCTGTGTCCTCCTCCACCAGGGTGGCATCTGTGGGGTTTTCATAGGGTGCAACAGCTCCTGAAAGTGTAACACTGCAGCTGCTGGGGTATATGGCTCGCAGGACTGGGGAAGGCAGCAGACCTGAAACCCCTTGGGGCTTCTGCCATCTGGCACAGGGAACCCCTCTGTGCACCAGGGAGCTGTCACAAAATTTACTGGGGCTGCAGGACTCGCACAGCAAAGATCACGAAAGAGAAAACTGGGAGTAAATATTTTAGGGGACAGTATTCTTTTTAAACAAGCACCCCCACACTAACTGGCCTGGTATCTACTCCATCCTTCCAAGGGGCCTGTGAGCTTGCAGGGTGTCTGGAGTTTCCCAAAGCATGCTCCCGTGCCCTGCTACCTCTTGCACCCTGCTGCCCATCGCACCCTTCCACGTGCCACCCATGTGCCACACGCTCATGGGACCTCTCCGCTGGCTTTGTCCTTGGCAGACCCTCTGGTGGTCCAGATCCGTGCGGGCTGTGAGCTGTACCCCAACACGACAAGCTGGGGCTTCCTGCACACTGGGGAGGGTGGCAAAGACCTCGTAGATTTTGAGGTGGATGAACAGCGTTGGAAGATGAGGCAGCCATCCCAGCTGGCACAGCAGGTCACCACGGACCTAAACAAAGAGAAGTCCATCAAGATGCTCCTGGAGTACCTCCTGTCCTTCATCTGCCAGAGCCAAATCCATGCCCTAAACAAGTATGGGAAGGCCACTCTGGAGAGACAAGGTGAGACCACCCTGACCCTGCCACGGCCACCCCAAAGCCCTGGGGCCAAGCCCTGCCCAACCAGGACTTCCCTTTGCTCCCATCCCCCAGAGCTGCCCGTGGTCACGGTCTTTGCCCGCACGCCCAGCCCACAGCAGCTGCTGCTGGTCTGCCATGTCACCGCCTTCTACCCCCGGCCCATCAGCGTGGCCTGGCTCAGGGATGGCCAGGAGGTGCCTCCGGGCCCGCAGCTCAGCACCGGCCCCGTCCTGCCCAACGCTGACCTCACCTACCAGCTCCGCAGCGTCCTGGCCGTGGCCCCCCAGGACGGGCACAGCTACGCCTGCCGCGTGCGCCACCGCAGCCTGGGCACCCGCAGCCTCCTCGTCCCCTGGGGTAGGTGCCACCCGCGGGGACAGGGCGCGGGGTGCAGGCAGCAGCCCCTGGCCCTGTGAGGGGCAGCTCCTGACTGGCACTGCCACCCTCACACGGTCTCCCTTTTCTCCCCCCATCCCAGACAATCACAGCACAGCTCCAACCGTCAGCATCACCATCGCAGTACTGCTTCTGGGGTGCACAGCCTCTGCCGCAGGGTTTTGGTGCTGGAAGCGCAGGTGAGCTCTCCCCCCCATCGCCTGCTCTAAGATTTACAGGCAGGTGGGTCAGGCCAGGGGCTGCAGCAGTGACAGCTCTGCAGGGTGAACTCCCTGGCTCTCAGTGCAGCTCACGGCATCCCCCTTGCAGGAAAGGTAATGAGGCTACATGGGAGACCCGGGAATATCAACAGCTGAGGCCTGGTTGCCCACCCAGCAACAACCACTCGCTCTTCCTGCTCATTTCATGTCCCACCTGTCAGCACCGACATTGTTTTGTTCTGGAAAACCATGCCATTAAACAGCTACAAACTCCCCCTGATGCATGGGGCTCCTGTGCCTCTCACCCTCCTTTACTCTCAGGAGTTTTTCCCAGGAAACCCCTCAGCACACTGCAGAGACTGCACAAGGCATCCAGGGAGACTCTCCCTTCGCCTGGAGCTGGTCTAGTTGGTGTCCCCCTGGCGTGTCAGAAGGAGCCCAGGCAGGTGCCTGGAGGATAGTGGGTCATGTTCTGATGGCAGCTCCAGCCACGGCCTCCTGCTCACCCACAGCCCCTCTCCCTCCTTTCTCCTCGAGGCAGCTCCAAGGTGGCGTGGCCACCGCGGTGCTGCTGACCAGGGCTGCGCATCCCTCCCCGGGGCCATCCGGGCTGCAGGGGCAAGGGGAGGTTTCCTCCTCGCCCGGCTGCACCAGCCCCGCGGTCCCCAGGCCACAGCGGGTGGGAGCTGCCCTTCCCCAGCCTCTCTCGCCCCTGCTCTCCTGCGGGAGCTGGGAGCTGACAGCTCGGGATGCCCCGGAGCCACATTCCCGGAGTCAGGACGGTGGATGCAGCCCATGGCCAGGCAGCACACCCGTCTGCACTGGGAGGTAAAAAAGGAGGGGTCTGGTCTCCTGTACAACTCGTGTGTTCTTCTGGGAGGAAAAAAGTCACCCGTGAAGGGAACTTCATGAAACTGGATACTCAAACTTCCCCAGTTACAGAGGTTCTTCAAACGTGCAGTTGCATACAGGTGTCCTCTCGTATCCTTTCCATCCTGGCTTACTTTAATCACAACCCTGCCAAAATGAAAGTCCCCGTGAACACACGTTAAAGGGGCGAAACCTCCTGTGACCCCTCCATGGGCAAGAGGCTCCCCCGCACCTGCTCGCTCGGGCATCCGCCCTCCCACGCCTCCGTACCCCTCTTCCCACTGTGTCCTTCCTCCATTTCCTCCCCCCTTTCCCACCCCCACATCCCTCCCTCTCCCCGCACATCCCCAGCCCTAGCCCTGGCCCTTTCCTCATCTCAAACTGCCTGTCCCCTCTTGTCCCTGCCCAGCCCTACCTGTTCCCTTGTCCCTCCCATCCATGTCCCCGTGTCCCCACCCCAGGGTCCTGCCCGAGCCATCCGCCAATGGCGACCCGCTCTGCACCTGACGTCACCTGGTGCCAGGTAGATCTTCTGCCCCGGCCCCCGCCCCGCCCGGCCGCCCCACCCCGCGCTGCCATTGGCTATCCTGCGTCTCATTCGCCAATGGAATCCGCGGTTCTCTTACGTCATCTGTCGCTGGGCAGGTTGTGGGGTGAGCGCGGCGGGGCGGGGCCTCATTCCCCGGATCTCGGGCCCCATCCAAACCCCTCCCTCTCCCTGTTCCCAAACACCCGCGCAGTGTTTCCTTCCGAAGCCCCAGGTCCTCGGATCCCGGCCCCGGCCGCCCCCAGGAGCCGGGGATGAGCCCAAGGCCTTTCCCACGCCATCCCCCACCAGGACCACCCTCCCAGGGCAGCTCCTTGCCTCAGTCCAGGCTCAGGGATGAGCTTCTGTAGGGGCCTGTGAGTCCACATGTGGCTGAGTGGATGATGAGAAGAGCAGGTCCACGGCTGTTCCTTGTAAGCCCCCTGGTGCCAGAGCTGTGCACAGGACAGGAGCAGCAGTGATGTCACTGCCAGCCGAGGAACTTCACAGTTTGGAGAACGGATGGGTGCACCCCTGGTTCCAGTCTGGCCATCTCTGCAGGTGCAGCGATGGTGCAGGGAATCCCATTTGTGACGCCAGTGTTTGTGGAAGTTTTTATTATACCTCTTAAGGTGAATAAATAGATTTGTGCTTCAGTTTAGCGAGATTTAATGAACAATGCACTGAACAAAGCCTGACTTCCTTAAGCTGTCCTACAAAGAACATCTCTGCCTTAAAGACACTTGCGTGCATGTCTCAGCACATACCATGAGGGAAAGGGTGACCAGAGCCAGTGTCACCCCCCGTGTCCCTGATCCACTGCTGCTCCCTCACCTGCAGTTTCTGTTCCCATTTCCTGGAGGGAGCCCAAGTTGAGGGCGAAGGCAGAGCTGAAACCACATTTGAGGGGAAGTCTGAGATGGGGTGCCCTGATAACAACCAAACACAACCAGAGCAGAGGTGTGTGCCCACCCTGGTGTGTGACCCCTCCAAGCACAACTGGATCCCGGTGTCACTGCTCCATGTCTCCATTTTTGGTGTCTCCAGCTCTGGGGACACGGGGAAGGCCCATGTGGTGCTGCTGCAGGCTGAGGTCCAGCCCCTTGTGACACTGAGTCAGTCCTGGGGACACAAGGACACCAACCCCCTTCCCTTCCATGGAGCTGTCCCAGAGAGAAGTAGGGATGCTGTGGTGGCCTGGCAGGCCCAGAAATGGCACCACCTTCCCCAGCAGCGTCACCCAGGGGAGTTCCAGCTCTGCCACCACAAAGATCCTTTGGAGCCAGCAGTGCTGGGCCCAGAGGGGAGTGTTCAGCAGGGATTTTCTGGCTCACAGGTGGCTGCCAGACTGATCTTGGGAAATTTTGCAGTGGAACCAAAATTGTGGAAGCTGCGTGTTCAAGTTGATTGGGAGCATGAACTAAACACCTTCCTGTGTCTGTCTGACCTGCGCTGTTTCAATGGGACAGGGGCTTCCTTTTCCTACTTTATTAGAAGCCTTGGGGGCACTTCACCCCCATGTGCACAGTTCCTCATTTCCCTGCCATAGGTAAGAACATGTTCATGTGTGCACAGGCACACCTGCACTTTTTCTTCCCTCTTGCCCTGGTGTTGCCTACAATTGGTGCAGATAATTCCGTGGTGCTCCAGCTTCCATTTGCAGCTGATCAAAACCTGCCCCAAGCCCACCCAGTTCCTGGGGAAAGGCAGGTGATCTTAGTGAAAATATGAATGTTGTCTTTTGATTTTATTATACACATCTGCAGCTCCCACATATTACACCAGAGTTTCAGTGTTACTCAGGGCTTTGTAAAGCCATTTGTGGCCAGGTTCTGTTATTTTATGTGGAACAGTTGAGTCTCAGAACAAATATTTCTGGAATATGATTAATAAAGGCAGTTTTAAGAAAAAAAACCAGTCCAGGAAGTGAAAGTAGAAGGATTCTGCTTTCCACCTGCTGATAAATGTGTTATTGTACCAGAAGTGGGAGAAATTGCCACTGGGCACTTAGGGGCCCTAGAGCCTCAGTGGGTGCATAAGGCAGTGCCACAAGAGGTGTAACAAGTGAGGAGGTCTCAGCCCTGCATCTGTGTCTGCTTAGCAAATGCAGGTGAGTGAGGAGCCACCCAGGTTTCTCCCCTGCATCTCTGAGTCGAGTTAGTC